ATGACAATTCAAATAATAATAGTCACCATAATAGTCAAATAAATAGTCATAATATAGTTAGTCAACAAGTAGTTTTAGGATTAAACCAAAAAGGCAAATATAGTTTAAGAGCACAACTACGAGCTAAATATAAATTTTAACCAGTAAATAATTTTATGTGTGTCTTTGATAATTGTACTTATTATTTAATTTTCAAATTTTTATACAGCTGTTATACCATCTATTCACTACAATGTCAGTCAACATGATATTTTAGCTGCTCATCTTTATCCATATTCAACTGTAACTTTCACAATCATCACCTTGTCATCGTTTACTGTACTTATTATTTATTTCTCGTATTCCAATAAGTGTAATTTCCAAATATCATGCTTTTATACACTCACTATTGCAGTTGTTGAACATCCTGCGCGCACATTTTCAATTAGCTCTCGTATATAGTGTGTTCTTTTCTGTAATCACTCGTTATTCATATCACTTGTACTACTGAAGAAGGAGTCGGTTTAGACTTCGAAACGTTTAGCAGTTGTAAATAAATTTATAAAATAAAATAAAATTCTACGATAAAAACGAAATTAAATTTAAATGTGATTTCCTTATCATATTATCAACAGGACTTGTGGTACTGAATGACCAGGATCTTCTTCAATTTTACGTTTCATGCCACGAATAACATTTTTAGTTTCTTCATCAATCTTAACATATGGTTTTATGAACACACTTGTACGAATAACATTGTAGTTGAGATCAATTGTTATGTATGCTGAACGTTTGTTTATTGTACATTTAAATAAAACAGTTGAATCTTTATTTTCATGAACTTTTCGAAAACGAAAATGTTGAAATACAGCGCAAGATTTTTCTTCCTGTGTAGTAGACATTATAACTTTTCCAAAATTCATTTTGGTTTGACAGTAGAAAATGACATGCTTTGCTGTTTACTGATTCCATATTTATATAATTGTCTTACTGATTTTGGGGCGCGTTGATAAATTTACTCATTTTGGAACAACAAGTTTGTACACTGTTTAATTTGATTCGATTTTGTATACTATTTCATTCTATATTTCTCTTATGAAAACGCAAAATTTAAGTTTTTTTTCATTATTGATTACTAATCAAATTTATTTTCTCTTTTGAAATTACAAAATTTTCACATTTTTCGTTCTATTATCTCTTTGGGGCCAAACGCTGAGGATTGGGTAGCTCTTCAAAAGGAGCCTTACCAAATTCTAAAGTGCAGGGGAAAATGTTATATTTATACACAATCGACATAGCTCAATCAAACGTACGACTCAGATTTTTTTTCGAAACTTTTTATATCAAATTCTAGCAATATATCAGTGTGACATTCCGGACGAAATTGGTTTCATCAACATAGCTCTTCCAGATGTAGTCCATGGGCTTAAATCGATACTAGTTTTAGAGATCGCATTCGATTATTATAACTTGTTGTGACCTTCATATCTTCACTCATGTTTAACCTTGAACAAAACACTTTTTCCATCGTTTTTTTCTTGATGCAAATACATTCTAAAAACATCTTTCGAAAGTCCAGACCAGTCCATATAGAGTTCTCTTACACAGCACAAGAATATTCAGATATTATTTTACCAAACTTTACACAACACAACAGATAAAACTGTCGGGAAAATGTTAGCAAGTTATAAAAGTTCTGTTACAGTTTTTTGATGAAACGAAACAACTGGCGAAAGCTCATAAAGTATGTTAATATTGAAGATCAGTTGTAAAAGAATCGTATCAAATATTCCTCTAAATGTAGTGAAGATCGAAAATATCTACCATATGCATTCAAAATCCAACTAATTGAACCTGTTGATGTTCTAGAATCGTTAACATTTACGTCAAGTAATATACATTTATATGAAAAGAACATCTGACTTCCATATGATCGACACATTTATCATTACCAGTGAGAAAATCGATCTTAAAATACGTCAAATATTGCTTATCACTAGCACAAATAAGATGATCATTAAGTACGTATTACATATCACTAGAAAATATCATGAACATCGAAATTTTATCAACAAAGACTTAAATACACTTAAATTGAATTTATTAAATAGTATTTTTGTAAGTAGGTCATTCAAGTCCAAATTTTCACCGTACGGTTTTCAAATCAAATATCTATTCATTGAGATGGTAGTTATTGACAACAGTTTATTTTACAGAGAAAAGATAATACCACTCAACTACGTCCAAAAATATTCATGCTAACATGTACCAGCATTATGAAGATGCGTTATACTTCCAATCATAAATTCTTATAAAATTAGTAAACATTCTTACTAAATATTCTTCCAGTGCTGTTAACAGCACCAAGTTCATCATACGAAATAATTTTATTTTGAATTACACTGAAAAATATACAGATTGAATATGGTTATTAGTACTTGAATAAAAATATGGATGGAAAATTTTATAAATCATTGAAAAATGCCAACGGTGCCACCTGTAATACTTGAGGATCATTTACTATTGTAACTTTTAATGCTTCTTTTATCTGACGGTTTTTTTCTAGTTCAACTAGTTCCTTCTTATCCATATCTTCATGTCGATTTAGACCAGCCACCTTTTTAAATGTTGACCACATAAAGTCGAGCATATCATTTTTATTTTTATTTTTTGCCATTTCATGTTTAATATGTGCGAACGAATCGTTCAAAATTGTTAAAAATATTCCCAATAGTGCAATAAATACAAGAATTAAAAATGAAATGAAATAAAATGTACCTAAAATAAAAATTATAAAGGAGAAAATTGAATAAAAAAAAGATCAATATATATATACCATAGAGTTTACTCAGAGAAACCATTTCTTCTGCATTTATTTCACCCAACATCATTCGAAAACATGTTGTCAACGATGTAAATAAACTTTTAAATGAACGTAATGATCGACCAAATAGAGCAAAACCAAATTGTGCATAAGCCAAAATAAATATCATAAACACAAAGGCAAATGAGTTAAGATCACGTCGTGCATAACGTAAAGTTGCTGATAACATTCCAATACGTTTATTAAAACGTAACAGTTTTAAAAATTTTAACATTGTAAAAAATGTAATCAAACCAACAATGTAACTGTACACTTCATCAAAAGTTGCAATAGCATTGAAATTAACAAATTCACCTTAGAAAACAAAATAACATATAAGAAAGGACTAAGAATTAAACATAAAAGTTTTAACATACCCATTTCTGTTTTTCGTAATGATCTTATTGCTAGTCTTGTTATAGCTTTCTTTGTCCCGTACATTCCTATTGCCGTTATACTAAATGCTACGGTTATAAAACCATGTAAATTCCAAAATTTTTTAAAATATAATTTTTTTTGTTTGATGATAAGTAAAATTTCGTGAGTAAGAGCATAAATGGTAAATATACAAAAGAATATTTCAAATATGAGAACAATAATAGCATAGCCACCTAAATGATCGTAAAGTCGAAATACTTTAATTTTATAATCATTAATAACAGAGCCCATTGATGTAAATTCTAATGATAGTGTAATACTAACAAATAAATTTACATTAGCATTATATAATGAAAAATCAATGACTAATGCACGAGTTAATTGATCGAGCCATTTTTGTTCTTTTAATTCTTCTAAAAGAATTCGTGCTTTTTCATACGTTCGTCCTAGTGTAAATAAATAACCACCACCCTTGTAAGTTGAATAGACGGCACTCAATGGTCCACTTTTAGTACGGGCACTATTCTAAAAACAAGACAATCTTTATTACTACAATATATATCACTATGAGAATAATTTTGAAAAATAACGAACTTGATAGCACCAAGGTGTTTTACATCTTTTCGTACTATTATCATTATTAACAAATGTTCCATTTAATAATCCATTCCATCCTGTTTTATAGTTTTTTTGTATCATCATCCCACCAACTATAATCATCTCGACAATGAAAAATGACATTTCGAACACGTCTATGAACACGACAAGAGTTCTCTTTTACTCTCAATTGACGAATTCTTGCTGCACCAACTCTCATCGATGTTCGACTACCTGAACAAATGATTAAAAATACAATTTATTATCTATATTTATTTTACTAATGAATATAGACCTGTTGTTAATTTTTCTCGCCATGATAATGTTTTTCCATTGTACCATGTTTGTGCATATAGTCCTTTTAAAAATGTATTATCACAATAATTCCACCAATCTGTAACTGATTTAATATTATTATAATCTTTAGTAATAAATAAATTTTTAGTATCACGAAATAGACCGTTTGAATGAATATCACGTGCTTGATAGGATAAAAATAATAATATTGTTGTAAATAAACAATAAATTAATACTTCACGAATAATTTCACTCATTTTTATCTCTTTTAAACGTAATTCACGCGCTTGTTTCATTTCCATATGATTAATTGGCTTCAATTCGAACAGTCGAACACGACGTTGACGAGCAATTTCTAATGAAATAAAAAGAATTTTAGACAAAAATTGATTAATTCAGTGATGTGTAATTTACACACCTTTTGTACTTATTTGACTAAAACTAAAATCATCTTCAGTATTTATTAGTGTTTCTGCGAATGGGTCATTGAAATCCATTGTTTCATCGTCATACGGTTTTCGAATTAAAAAGCTAATGATGGCTGTTGCAATAAATACCTGTTGAATGAGATGACAGGTAATAGCAAACGTTTATTATACAGAAGAAAAATATTACCTTGAGTGGATCAATAATAAGTACAGATTGTCCGAATGAGAGCATCATTGTAGACAACCATTCATTGGATCGACTTCGTCCCCATTCCATTGAATATAGTATGATGAAAAATGAGCAAGTTAGTATGCTCAATATTACCACTATAACAGCAAGATAAAGAATATGAGATAGGAAAAACTTTCGTTTCGTATAACCTGAAGGAAAAAGAATATCCCGCTCTGCGACTAGCGTTATCTGTATAAGATGCTGACAAATGACAGTTTCAACAGATCGATATCTTTTCTTCAGTTCACAAGCCTCTGACATCGTCTTCCATCTATTTATCAACCATTAAACACAGTTCTATCCTAGAAACTAGCCTAATGTAAAATTCTTTCTATCCTAGTGCTTTTGCTTCTTATACACACTTGTTGTTCAAGCAAAGCTACAAAGACTAAGCAGAGAAATTGTATTGGATATCACAACGGAGTAAGCATAGTACTGGACGGATGATCCGAAGGGCTAAGTTATTATATGACTTGGCTGCGATATGGTTCCAAATAGTACCTTTTCTGGAGCACGAGTGGAACAACGCAACCATCAAGCCAAGCTATACTGTATAATCTGAAACTTACAAGTCCAAGCAATGTATATTGCCCAATGTGGTAATGTTCGTTCTTTATCTTCAATTTTATTTCTTGTATCATCTAAACGTTGTCTTTGTACAACAGATGATCGATGACAGAATCTTGCTTTTAAATGTGTAATGAAATTAGAACGTCGACTACAAAAAACAACATTGATAATGTTAATAAAAAAGCTGAATTTAAGGCTCCTCTTATACTTTTCTGTTGAAAAATAGTGGTCGTCTTTATTTTCAAGTGAAAGTAGATTATTGCTATTAGGTCTTGTCGTTAATGTTTGTTGATTATTTCCTGCTTTTCGGAATAATGTAACAATGATTAAATTAACTGGTAAAACGATCAATGTTCCAATAAAGCTTATCCAAAGCTAACATTAAAATGTGAATTATTTTTAATATTACGAAAGCAGAAATAAACTTACTTGTGTGAGGGTAAACCGTAGTGGTCCTAACTGTAAAATGAAACCTTTTTCAGATTTATTTTCTGTCTTATAAAACATTGCATTTGATATCATTGTGCAAAACAGTAGCGAGATACAACATGAAATGCGTTGTAATCGTGTGAAATTACTTCGAACTGGACGTGAAAATACTGAAAACCATAGATGACCATCGCTAAATTTTTTCTTTACCTACACAAATGTAAAGATAGATGTTTTCAATCAGCTTTTAATAGAGAATCTTCATCGTACCGATTGCGTGAACAAATGTGTAAAACTTTTCAATTCAGTTGTAGAAGCTACTGGTACAACGCGATCAACCATTCCATCACTTTTTTCGACTGCTAACCAATTATCGCAAATAAAATAACTCCTAAACTTATCTAGGTCTTAGCATGAAAGTTGACTCTTTTTTAATAATGAATCTTACTTTTCACCCGTTTGTAAATCCATTACGTTTATCATGTTTAAGTACCACGATGCGTTTGTCTTATATCCAGAATTATCATGCCAGACTCGGAGATAAATCAGTGGGCCTAATGGTGATTCGACACTCATTACCTTACAATTAAGAAGGGAAAGAAAAAGAAAAACTTAATTACTCTGCAAAAACCTCTGATCCAAAGGCCAGAAGACCAATAAAACATAAAAACGTATAAACATACATGGTTTCTATTGCTACCAGCGGCAAAACCCTATCAATTAAGAATTAAAAAAACTCCATTGGATTGGCCGTTAATTGATACTGAAAACCACTAACCTTTTGTTTTCCATCACTCAGTTTTCTCACACCACTATCAGCTGTTTCACCCGATATAATAAAACTGACATTGGATGTTGTACCGGCATCCTTTATAATTCCCGTGTGGACAGTAATTAGATAATAATAAACGTCGATTGGGAGATTATCAACGAGTGGTGTAGCTGTCCACTACAAAATGTAATAATTTTGTGATTTTTAATAGATTTCTATCTCATAACATACTTTAATAATATCTTTTTTGTCCTTTTTTCGTGCCCAAATAGCAGCTATAATATACAATCCTAATATTCCAATAACTGTAACAAAAACCGCAGCATTTTCATGTAATTTCTTGAAATTAGCCCAAACAGTTTTAAAATTAATTGTATTCGGTGGCACGTAAAAATCACTGCCAAACGTGGTCAGATGAGTGCACAAACATTCTGTTGATTTCATTGTAGTTTGAGAGCCAATCTAAAAGTTTATTTTCTATGACTAACCTCCCTTATTACTGGAGACCGGCTTTTCATACCTGACAACCCTCTTTACTCCAAACAAGTCGTTGTTCGTCCCAATATTGACAACCAGACGCATAAATTGATACAATATAGGATGAGTTATAGGAATATTTCATTTGATCTGTGATATTAACAAGTCCTATAAGAAACAAAGAAGTATTTCACGATGTTAGAGGTAAAGTAATACGTCTTACTGTTCAGTCTGACACCAAATATATAAGTGCCATTGCCATAATGAACGGATGGTGGCATAAATATTGTGTATTTCAATTCTTCGCAGTTATTGTAATTTGCAGATATACTGTTATTATTCGGAAGTGTGTAAATGAAATCAAATTTTGAGTCTGTTGGTGGTTCAACTGTGTCATTTCCATAACTAACATAAAGAACATACGAATCTATACTCGATGATGGTTTAATGTATACAGATAATGCCATATATTTATCCAGCAAAATAGCCTAAAAAAAGACGGTAATGATATTTCACAACTAAATTAATGAGTTTCTTCTAACTTTATGATATTTCATATTCAAATTATAAAGTTCATGTTCTTGAATGTCTGGCATTTTATTTTGTGGTCTTGTAAGAAAGAGTGAAATTGGTTTTGACGTGTTTTGAACTGGAATTTCAGTTCCATTATTATTTGTCAGAATAATGGTAACAACACTTCCTTCCACTGTTGAATTTCCTGTTGTACTTGCATAAGGATTATTTTTCGACGATAAAACTTTTGTTACAACGTCTGATGAACTATTTGCCAACATATCGGTTAAAGCCGGTAATTTAATTTGTGTATCACCGGCTGATAAACTCGATTTTCCTGCATATATTAATATTTGTTTGTAATGTAGATGCATTGGAGTAGTAATTACATTTAAGCCTACAGCAGTCCGCTGCTTCTCCTCTTTTAACTAGAATGGTTCACCAGTTCCTGAGAGTGGGAATTACGCTTCATTTCGAACGCAGAACTGTTCTATCCTTTGTAAGCTGTTATTTTATTGTGTATATTTAGAAAACACATGAAACGGATGTGGAATGGAAAAAAAATTTCAAGAACCTATTAGGCTAAATGATAGACTAAAAGGAGATATAACGCTTATGTAGGGACCAATGAAGTAGATTTTTTCGAGGGGAAATAAACAAAATTCGTCACTTGGTTTTGTGAAATCTTACTTTGAGTTAACGCCTTTCAAGAGTTGTAGAGAATCTCTTTCTCAATTTTCTTGAAACCTCATGGAAGAAAACATTGTACTTTTCAACTTTAAATATGATATTCGTAACCACAGTTGAAAACTTCCTCTAGTCCATGACATTTCAAAAAACAATGAGAAAAAAATTTCCCAGAATTTTTGAAAGACACCATAGGCGTCAAAAGAACTTAACGCAAAATTTCACAAAATCAAGCCACGGGATATGCTTCAGACATTCATGATACGAAAAATAACTAAAAATAGTGACTTCAAGTGTACCTAGTGCAAGTACATTTTCACAAGTTTTATACAAAAACTTATTCTGTCATTAGTCTTAACAAAAATGAGAATGTGTATGTTTTTCAGAGAGAAAGCATAAATGTTGTCAGTTTTAGTATTTTTGTTCTTAGTATCTCTCTTGCCTTGTAAGCAGAAACAAGCACATAAAAGAGAATAACATCAAATACACTGAAACTACCAGATTTTTCTTGGTTCTGAAACTCAGTCCTTATTATCGAAGAATCATAAATTGTCCAGAATCTGATTACACTCACCATCTGGTGATTGTTTTGTGAATGCCATTGACATTGATTTTCCTTCAATTGATTTTGAATCATTATCGGATGTTCGATTAGCTAATACATCACCGACAATAAATAAACCGGATGAACTTCGTTTTGCCAAATGACTAGCCTATACAAAAATGATATGAGAATATGCATAGATTCTCTTCTTCAGTTTTTTCAGAGAGACTTACCCGTTGTCTATCATCAATAATTTGATGATTTTGTTCATCTAATTGAGTTCGATACATTTCCCATCTTTCCTCTGGTAATGTTTCACATTCATCACAAGTAGAATAAAATTCTGTTGGAGCAAATAACACCTTTTGATCATTATCTTCAGATTTGCTGGCTTCTATAGTTGATTCTAATTCCTAAAATTGAAAATGATTTATATTTTCATCAGGATTAAGACTTACTTTTAAAAATAAGACCAACCTCTTTCACTGTTTCTGGATCTTTTTCAATATTTTTTTGCACAGTTTTTGATGTTGCATAAAGAACATTACCACCAGTATCCATTAATGCTAAAAAATATTAAAGTAAAGAGTCAAATATTTGTAGATAATAGATTCTCTAATACTTACAAGTAGCCAAAACTGTTATAGTATTATCATCAACTAATTCCATATCACGAACTTTATTTCCAACTTTTTCTATTAAACCAGCTCCTTTTTCCTGAGAAATTAGTGCTTAATTATGACAATGAAAAATACTTTCTCTTCACATATTTTGTCATACCTGATTATTTAAAGGCATTTGATCACTGTTGGCAGTCACTGTTGTACTGGCTTTGACAGCTTTTATCACACTTATCGGATCACTAATAACATCCAGTACAACATCCATAGATGATAACATCTTTAATCTCATCTACAAAATAGTTCATTCATCATTTCGATAATAAAATAGAGAATATAATTTATTTTTACTAACCAATGTCATTCTTTCATTCATTATTGATAGATCTATTTCAGTATTATTGGTCTAGAATAATATCATAATTATATTCTAGATAAAAAATAAAATGATTCTCATTTCTTACCGAATTTTCACTCATTTCATTTAGTTTCTCTGCTAAATCGGTAATTAATTGAACGGCTTTTTTTGGATTCACTAAGACTAAATTATCTAGATTATTCATCACTTCATCTAATAAATTTAAATCATCACTAATTATAAATTCATCTCGTTTATCAACTAGTTTTTGTGAAATTAACATTCGTCCATCTAAACTTCTCGTTATTAATGTAAAAGAAAATGTTCCATTAAAATGTAAATATTTTTTACTTATATTAAATGTTTTTAATGTTGGCTCATAAACAACGTATTGATAATCGAGTTTGGTTGAAAAACAACGATGTTCAAGAAAATAAATATTTGATTCAGGATGACTAACTAAACTTAAATTTAACCATCGAATAGATAATAAATTATAAATATTATTTTCCGATGGTCTTCTACTACCTAATGGAAGATCATTTGGAAATATATTTTGTTCTTCTGATTTTAAATGACAAATAACAGTAAAATTTAATTTTCGTCGATCATTTATTTCATCATCCGGATCATATGTTGTTGACCAAAACGAAATCATTATATCTTCATTATCAAGCATAATTTCTGTTATATTATTTATTTCTGTTATATTATTTATTTCTAAATTTTGATTTCCAAAACTTGTATTTAAATCTGATCGTACAATTTCAATTGGTTGAATAATGTTACGATAAAATGATGGATTTAATGTTGAAACAGCTGTAATGTGAGCAAGATAATAACCATAGGATAATGATTTTGCTTCAATAATAAGTGATTGTTTCTTGCCTAAATTTGAACAATAGAATGGAAGATATTCATCTGTATAGATACTACGATTTGATGATAAACGATTTAAACGTTGAGAATATTTCCAATTTAAAGGATCCATATTAATCAAATAAAATGAAGAGAAAAATTTTTCCATACACATTGATGGTAATTTTGGTTTTAATACATGTTTTTTACTGAATGGTAACAATAATACTGATGATTGAACTGTCGTACTACTATTGAGAGCATTATCCGAATGTAATGTCAAATTTTGATCATTTAGACATGATGATTCTATCGATGAAATATCGACTATTGTAACTTGTGAACATGTTAGATTTGCTTTTAATAATTTTAATGATGGATTTATAAATGTAATGTTAATATTGTATGTTCCAGATATTTTATATTGATAACCAATTTGAAATCGTTGTCTTGTTAGTTGTTTTAAATAGATATCATTTACCAATCGTTTAATTTTAGTCATTGGACTCATTATTAAAGTTTTATAATCAATTATAGCCAATTTTCCATTTCCCATATTAATTTCTGTATCAAAACCAATACCGTTCAAATATTGAATATCAATCCAAATGATACTCTCATTATTCGTTGTTGTTGTTGTTGTTGTTGCATAATTATTGACCAAATAGGTTTGTACTAACGTTAAGTCTTGTCCAATAGAAAAGTTTGTTGTTGCTTCACGTATTGTTGGAAAATCACCACCTCTTACATGTAATATTTGATATCCATAAGTTGTTATATTTAAATAAAAATAATCGGTAAAATTATTTGATATCGATAATTGAACACTTTCATTTTTACTCATATTTCCTGTTGTACTAAAAATTGTTAATAAGAGAAGTCCTTCAAACGGAATACGTTCATTTGTACGAATTGTTACCAATGTTAATTGTGTTATATCTTTATGATTTTCTACTTCAACTTGAATTGGTGGAATTGGTTCTTCAACATCGATTGTTATCGTTTGATTTGCTATGCTAACTTTATTTGATGCACTAACAATGGCATTATAATGACCCGGTGTATCATATTTACATTTGATAATTAAACGATAATCTTCATCAATTCTATTAGCATAAAATATTTGTAACGATTTATTTGTCGTTATCTCTTGTTCACAATCAAAAATAAATACAACATCAGATGTTTGACCTAATAAAATGGTATATTCAATAGTTTGTCCACTTTTAATTATTGTTTGAGATACTTCAATATCCAAATTAGTAATACGATTTTGAACATTGATTTGATACGGTTGCAATGGTATATCATCACATTGCAATTGATAAAGATGAATACCTGACTCTAAATTCTACAAAAAAAAAAAAATTGTTTTTTTGTCTTTTTTTGTTTTGTGTATTAGTAATCAATAGATTCTACTCAGCGTATAAATCTTACCTCATCCGATAGAACTTCGAGTAATTTTCGTCTCTTAATTATATCTAAACGTTTATTTGTTAATGAATTACGTAATTTTAAACAATTTGTAGATGTAAAAGAATAATCATCATGAGATAATACGGTAAAACGTTTTGTATCCTCAGGTATTATGACTTTATTTATAATATCTTTTTTTGTCATATTTTGTCGAATAATACTTCGTGATAATTCTGTAATGTTTGTACTTCGATCATTAAAACATTTAACACTTACATTATGTTTTCCATATTTTGTATATTTATGTGTAAAATGAGATGTATAATATTGATCATGATTAGTACCTCTTGATTGTTTACCACCGTCACCAAAAGTCATTGTACAATTTAATGGAACACTACCAAAACATTGAACAGTAAAATTTTGTTCATTCTTACCATCACCATTATCTGGAGAAATATGAACAAATTGTAATGGTAAATCAGTTTTAATATAGACAACATCAACATTGACAACACGATATTCTGTTGTTTCACCACCAACAGCTCGACGATAATCGGCACGAAATTGAACACGTCTAGAACCTTCACTTTTCCATGATAAAGTAATCTTAAAATAATAATAAAAATTATTTATTATAATCTTTTTAAAAGAGATAATAAAAATAAAAACATTACCACTCCGGCTGTTATATAAATTTCATTTGAACTATTTATTCCTTCATTTCCTTCAATATCACCATAGACTGTTAATGATGCTAAATTTCGCTCATTTTTAACAGAAACAATTATTTCAACACCCTCATTAATTTGTATTCTCGTTCGACCATGTTTTAAAAATGATGCATCAGCCATACTAATTTCTAATCCTAAATGACAAAGTAATACACATAAAACTTATATCATAGAGAGAAAGAGAGAGAAATATTATCAAATTTTTACATACCAACTTCGGTATCAACAAGATCAACAACATGGGAAACAGAGAGAATATGCCATTGTTCACATTTTGAATTAATATCACAGGTACAATTATCATATTTAAAATAAACTTCGAATTCATAAAAACTTTGTACACATCCACATTGATTAGTATTAAAAATGGCAACCTAAAATAGACTTATAGAAATAATTAAATATTTAAATGATTTATATTTTGAGTAGCAACTGATGATGCACGAAATCAAATTTGAATAGATAAACATGCAGAGCGAGATAGAATAAATTAAAAAATCGGCACATCAGATCATAGATCGATAGCAAAAGCTTAACTTGACATAGTTATTTTAATCTTTTAGACATTAGAAATTAGTTTCAATGAGGAAAATATTCATCAGGTTTTGCACTTTTTTGGGCCAGTACTATCAATTTACTTTTTCGAGTAGAACAAAAAGATAAATAAAGGTTTCCTTTACATCAAAGTTTAGAGTTCGCTGACCTGATTAAGAGTATGTCAGAGAATACTTGAAAACTTAGAAAACTATCAATTTCAATTCAAATTATCATTTTATCATAGTATCACTTATAGTATCTAACCAACTATCTTTAGAGTCATTTGAACCTCAAAAATGATGTATTCGATCAATTTATCAATTAATTTATTATTCATTTTGATCAAGTATTTTTTGAGAAAGAAATATTTTTAACTCCCTTCGTGTATTGTTTTTTTACACTATTTTATTTTTGATTTTTTAGTACATTTTTCTAGATACAATTTTTCATACGAATCAATCTAATATTTATTTCTCTTCAAAACACTTTTTTAAATGGTAAAAATGTTGAATTATATCTTCAAATACTGCAATATACGACATCGTCATACAATGATGAAAATATAAAATTTTGGAGTGAAGCTAACAAGTTTTTAACTGTTGATATTTTTTACTCATAATCTTAATAATGAACTGTATCAATCAGTGTACGAGAAAAACTTTTTCGTCTCTCATTACTATAACCATGGGAAAATTTTAGTAGATATCATGGCGCGTACATTCGCGAACGTCGTGAAACGAAATGCGAGCGCAAGTGAATACCGTTAAATGGTGTGTTGACACACGTGAAAAAATTATCCACTTGTGACCAATCGTGACACTGTGCACGAAAATTTTTTCATCACATTTTTTGTACGTAGTCACAAGTGAAAAGATATGTGACTAGACGTGAACAGTTCACGAAAACATATATGTGACGCTTCTACCGCGTGACCGCTAATGAAATTCGTGCGTGGATTTTTCGCGTTAATATTTCCGTAAGGAAATTCCACTTGCGAACACGCGTCAGAACGTCTAGAGCGAATTTTATTATAAAAGGTAGCACTTGTGATCACATTAATGCACGTGTGATGTTTTCATGCAGTTCTTTTCTATACAAGTTAATGCTTAAGTGGGAATGTTTCAATTACTTAAGACTTACCTGAAACTCTGTACAAAAGTATTTACGGTACAATTTTTTGATCGGGAAAGTTTATTTCTTTGATAATAAGTGTGCAATGCTTAGTACTAACGTTATTTCTAAAATTCCTCACCTGTATGATTTTCCATCTATAGATGAAAAATCTCAGAATTTTTTAAGCAAAATTCTTACGAAGGTTCACCTACGATCGTGCGTGAAAAGATGTTCACGCGTGAAATATGGTGAAAATCGATTGACAAGCATAAATACAAAATTTATTCTATATTCTCCGGTGTCAAGCTGGCTCAATGATAACTTGGTTCAATTCTGAATTTCAGGAAGTATATACCTCGAAAAGCCACGATTGTTTCACGTGTGACCACGCATGAAGATTGTTCACTTGCGTACACGGGCGCAAATTTTTCCGTGCAGGATCTGCGCGCTTATACACAAGTGAACAATCTTCACGCGTGGACACGCATTTGATGTTGCAAGTGCATGACCCCGAAGTCGTGAAACCTGCTGTCTTTACCTACACAATTTTGTGAAAGTCCAAGCTGACATTTCACGGTCCCGCACCCGTGAAAAGTCGATAAAATTTTGCCCATGGGTACACTGAGTAAATGGATATAAATTGTTAAGATTCAAGATCTCTAAGAAAAATGAACAAACGCATTTTTTACAATCTATCCACAAACTCGTTCCCAATTCCATATATTATCTAACCAACCTTGACATTACATATCATCAATTAATGACTGTTGAACTAAAAATTATTCGAATGTATATCAGTACGAGTCATCCTATAGCAAATTATTTTCTATTAGTTTATCATTTACTTTTGCTTTTCGATTGAAACATTCATCTCGACATTGTTTCCAATTGTTAAATTGACCGGCAATTATATATTGATGAATTCGATCGCCATTTGGTTCATGACATCCAATTTCAATTAAATCATATGAAACTTTAAATATAATAAAGTAAAATAATTTAATTATTTAGTTCCTTTTTTTCCCAGCGTAACTTTACATACCATTAGCAATTTCATTTTCGCTCAATATTCGTTCATAATATTTAATTTGATCAAATATAGCTAATCCGCTATCATTCGCATATACTTGTATTATTGTTGGATGAATATCATATTTAAATACAAATAATTCTGTATAATTTTCTGCTTGTGTTTCTCGATAGAGATATCCATCAACATAAATACTTAAACGATGATAATTATCATTTGATTTTGAAACAACGGTAACAATATCAGTCCATTTATTTATTTCAAGATCAGCTTCAATGTGCCAATAATAACCAAATTCATTACTGCGTAATTCTTTGATACCAAATTCTAAATACGATATATTTTTACTCTGATATAATTCAATCAGAAGACCATCACCGTGTGGTTCATTTGCTCCTGTACTTAATAATAATAATTTACGTTCTTTATCAACAATAGAAAATTGATTTAATTTCAATTTCATACGTAGAGACCATCCATTGGGACATGCCTCTAAACGCTTTAAACATTTATATTCATAATTAGGTAAACGATAATACCCATCTGATTTATTTGCCGAGTGATTAAGTAACGATACACCATTTATTAAATCAATGGTAATTTCTAAACAGAAAAGATATATACATTTGTTGTAAACATAGTAATATCAAGAGTCAAGTTCACGATGCGTGAGTAGTGCTTGATTATTTAACAATATAAAATTAGAAAAACTGAATCTCTTTTACGTTGAAGTTTTGAACTTATTTAATTTGATGTTCAATGTCGTCTGTCTTCTATAGTAGAACATTCACTTGTAGAACAAATTACTGCTGTTACTCTTCAAATGAAACTTTACAAAGCAGAGATACACTTACCCTCCTGTGATGAATAATAAAACAGATAAGATGAAAAACAAAATAATAAAATAAACTTCAATTTTAAAAATTGAGTTAAAATTCTAAACATGTTGTCAAGAAAGTATGTCGATCGGGTTCATTAAAATGATCTTGAACTTGAATTGTACATCTTCTAATGTCGCTTGTTATTTTGTTTTTATAATTCTTATCGTATTAAAAAAAGTAACGTTAATTTTTTTTCATAAATTCGTAACAGTTTTGTCTATTATTCATATATCTCTTGTGAATATCATTTTAATATGCAAAGTCAAATCTTTAGAGAAATATTGTAAAATATTACAAATTTTTACAAAAAATTTCTTTTATTCAAGGTAAAGACATTATATTTTATTAGTGGATAACGTTACAAAAAGAAATTCGTTTAAAATTATATATTATGTTCATAGCATGTTATCCCACATTAAGCATTGAAAACTCGTTAATCAATACTTCTTTTCATGTTTATACATAATATGATATGCATTACACAATAGCCTACAGTGTCTATTTTATCAGCTTATTATTCCTTGGGTAAAATTCATCTTTTTAGTTATTAACTTATTTCAAAGTTTAGGAATAAAAATTAGATTTTTTTTTACTAGAAAAAATACCTGCATCACTTTTATTGTGACTAGATAGAAAACTGAAATATATTTTTATTTTACGAAAACTTGTTCATTAGTTCCAATAACTTGTACACATAGGGGACAAACGTTCGGAAAAGTCAGTCCTATTAGGTGTAGTGAACACTATATCTACCTTCTTCTTTGCTCCGACATCTTTAGGGCTCCTGATTCTGAACAAAGATTCTAAAACAGCGTATGAAAACGAACAGATATCAGATTCATGTTAGCAAAAAATACTATCTATATTTAAATAAGTTTAATTAAAATCAAGATGACACTCTGAACTTCCTTCATATTCTATCGTCTCTCAGAGCTTGTTGATGGCGAAACAAGTTGTTTAGGAGCTTAAACATATTTGAAAACAACAGAAAAACGGCATAAATTGTAAGAAATATGAAAATGATAGTAAAAACGCGTTATCCCTAAGGTATACTTCTTATTGAAGAATTAGTTTTATGCTTAATACGTCATATCAGAGACCGTCAGGTATAGGTAAAGTCCGACGTGCCTAACCTACGACTGACACGTGTCTTGATTACAGCTGGACCTAAAAAATGGGCCTGTGGCCTGTAGCATGGACCTACCGCTTTCAGATCTTGACCTAACCTTGACCTCGACTTTAGGTTTGAAGTGAAGTGTTGAGTTTAATACAAATAATTCAGGTTTGTGTGCAGCTTATACAGGATAAGTCGACTTCTCACGAGCGCAAAAAGAATAACCGACTTCGGCGGAATCTTGATTAGATAGACCACCTTCGGCCGTAGCGGTAATGTCGATCAATCTAAACAAGAGTAAAAAAAGTTTAGTCTACGATCATCACAGCCCTGTTGCATAAGAGATGCAGTAACGTATTCAGACTCAAATATAATCTTGAATGTACGAGTACATCATTTAATCACTGATCAAAATATCATGACACATATATGCGTCATCCGGACTGAAAGGATTAATAAAAACCAAATTGTTTATGAACATGATAAAATACTGATTAATCGTTGCTTATCGCGATAATATCATATTTTGTTTGTAATTGTTGGCCCGTTAAAACATGGAAGTGTCTGGAAGCAGAAAAGAAAAAATAGTATATGAGTGAAATTAACTTAAGAAAAGTTATTTAGTATTAATTATGAATGAAATTAATTAAACATATGAGTGAATGAATTTCAGCATGATTTATTTTCGATTTCATAAAATAGAAATAAAACTAATGGGAATTAACATAAAATCTACTATGAATTTGAAAAGTTGTAACTATAAAACCAACATATTAACGAACATTAAGCGTTTACAGGATATATTTTGAATAAAGTCAAGAACAAAATTCATGGACATGGCTCTGGTGATCAAAGTCCTTAATTAAATATCTTTTTTAGCGAACAAACGTCCAGCATCGATTATTATTAGAGATATTTAAAAATGGAGGTTTTCCCTATAGTATACTGTTAGAGGTACCAAATGTAAACGGTTTCGTATACTCAACAATATAATGTGGGCTTTTACATATTTATTTTAAAACGCGAAATATACGAGGATAAAAAAAAGTCAATTAAAAAAACTACACCTTCATAAAAATAATTTAAACATTAACTCTACTTTTTATATCATTATATCTTTTACTTGATAATATCAGAACTTTATTAAACGAAGAAAAAACTAAACGCACCCTTAAAATATTTATGTATATGTTGTAGACAAAATTAGAATTCGGTCAAATTCCGAATTTGTCCAGACAGAATTGAAATTCTAATTTCGCCTAGACTAAATTAGAATTCTAGTTTTTATCCGAGTTTCTTTGGGCAAAATTGAGATTCCAATTTTGATCAACCTCAAAAAATGATACTGGACAAAATTCGAATTTTCCTGTATAAAAGAGAGATTACAGTTGATAAAGTGAAAAGACTGGTCCTCTCCGATAAAATCATGCTCTTAGTTTCTCCTATTCAGTAATGAGCCATCCATATGCACATTCTTCATAAAGTAAGCCATAGATAGTTTGACCTTAGAGTTTTTCACTTGTTTTAAACATTTTTTATGGTTGTCATGCGACTGGAAATAAATTCATCCATTCACGTACTATATATGTTTAATAACAACAAGTTTAATCAGCGAAGGATGACGAATATACACTCGCCTTCACTGTACATCGTACTTTGATTTCTCAATTCCTTTAAATGTGCATCTTTTCTTCATTCTGCTTGACGATGGGTATTTTTATAAACAGGGGAAAATAGGATGTAAGAAGAGAGGCCGTCAAGAGCCTGAGATGACTGTTCTTTTGAAATAGAAAGTATGATGATTCGAACTCGCCGTTGTACGTCGAATCCGAATATATATCAGAATGTATCTTTGATCAAATTCATCTCGGCCGATGTATGGTACTAGAAACGGAAAGCTTGTGGATACAAGAACTTTTTTCTATATAAACTTGTCCTGACTTCCAAATGGAATTCTTCAGCTAATAAAGAATGTTCTTTCTGAATAGGAGATTACAATTGGAAAAGAAAACTTTTTCCAAAAAGTGGTGCATTTCCAGCTCCACTTGAGCCACCTAAGTCAAACAATCTTACCGTTACACGATCTTATGTTATGGCCAGGTTTTATGTTATGATCCCATAAGATCGTGTAAGATCCTATGAAAATCTTGTCAAAGCCAGAAAATCCCACTGGAAGATTTTCATAGGATCCTGTAGTCAGATCTCGTCGAATCTTGCAAGGTCCTACAGGATTCTATTGTAGGATTGTAGCAGGATTTTATCTGATTTTCTGCTGTCTTATCCTACTAGGTTTAATTATTCTCTGACTCCAAGCCAGAATTAGGTGATTCTAAACTGAAATAACCCCAAGACGTGTGACTACTGACTCACACGTCGTCGATCAGTAGCGAGTTTCGATGGCTCACACAGTGTTCGATGCGAACATTTGAGACTAAAAGGATTTTTGATTCCTATAGTTCAGTACAGTTGTATTTATATTAAACTTACTGCAATACACGTCCGTGATTATGTTTTCGTATAGAAAAAGAAAAAATATATGCAAAACAAAACAACTGGAATCCTACAAAATCAAAAAAACCCTACAAAAACAATTTCGAAAAATCGCCGATATAAGACCGTATGCCGCTTGCTCATTTCGATTTTTAGAACATCTCTGTTTGTACTTTCTTTTAATATAATTGGTCAAACAGTAAAGCCATTGTTGATAAAGATATAAGAAAAACAAATTTGTGTCAAGACTTTCGCGTCGTAGGTTAGTCGATATTCATTAATCGCTCCATTAATAAGGCACTCATAGATTTTGGACTCGACAACGTTACTAATAAAGGTGTGAACTTTGTCATGTAATTAAAACGGACAGAAAATGAGAATAAAATTGGGTGAGTAACTGATAACAAGACGTTTATTATATAATATTTTACGGTTCTAATATATCACCACCCATTTTATGTCTTTTTCGTGGATTTTTGCATGGTGAACTTCTTGATGAACTTCTCTTGAGGACGTCAGAAACAATACCATAGTTATCATCATTCTCTGATATTTCATCCAGCGGATTTCGACCACTTTGAATATCTTTCAAATTAAATATTTCCATTAATCTACTGAATTGTTTCTCATTAATAAATTTCGTTTCTTTCATACTTCGTATCAAGTATTCCCTAATCCCTGGTTTCAGGTTAGTATATTTTTGGATTATCGACTAGATGAGAATATTGGCATATACATTTTTCCATGACTAGATCATTTTGATTATCATCAACGCTTTTATATTTATCGATATGTTCGTATACTTCTTTCCATTTCTCACTACCATTAGTTTTAAAACTACTCCAATTACATTCTGGATCACGATGAGCATCATAAATCATACAAATTGCTAACATTTGTTTAGGTGATATCATAAATTTATTTAATTTCTCTGTTGGTATTACTGATTCTGGTTTCATTAAATCTTTAAATAAACACTCTTTTTCATTTTCATTTCGGTTGAAATGTTCAGTTTCAATAATATCTCTAACACACATTACTTTAGACCATCGTTTCATCACTGCATATGGAATAAGATGTTCTGATTCTCTTACATTGCTTTTAGATAGCGATGTTATTCCATAGGAACCATTACCATGTACACCAACTAATCCTATTAGCGCATTTTCAAAATTTTCAGAGAGTTTCATCATTTTCAGTTTCATCACATTAATTGGAAGTTGACCACCAAAACCAAGTTGTGATATATAATAATGATGATTACCATCAGTAATCATATCCTTAATAAGTGGACTATTTTCTATTTCTTTTGCAAGTAATTTTCGTACTTCATTTGCATCAGTTGTTGTTTTATCTCCTTTAAAAATTCCATAAATGAAACAATTATTGTCATTATTATTATCGTTAATAATTTCATTTTCATGTGTATTTTCTGATGAAGAAAAATGTCCAAATGTATCTATTCCATCACCAGGATAAAATTCAATTGAACGACAATCTTCATCTTTAATATTATTCATATTATATCCTTCTGGACAAATTAAATCCGGAAATGTTGTTCCATCTGCATTTTTTATTCTTATTGGACAGCCAGTAATATTTGCCATTGCTTGAATACAAACCATATCCATTGGACCACCTTGTTCAACAATACGTGCAAATAGTTTTGCGCTTCTTGATTCTGCCATAATGATCATTAAATTTTTATTATACATTTTTGTTATTTCATTTAAAATTTCTTTACTTTCCGAATTTTCATTTTCCTTGTTATCATTTTTAGTTAAATTTTTTTTATTATTTTCATATTCACTTTTATTATGTTCATATTTTTTCCAAAGTCGATTTTCTTTTCGTTGTTCATGAAACTTTTTTATAGTTTTTCCTAAATTTTTTATGATCCTATTTGCACCATCACATAAAATTGGTTCAATTATTTTTATTCTTACATCTGTATCAATTTTCATTTCAATTGTTTTACACCATTCGTCTGTTGTTTTATCAATAAAATCATTTATTTCTTTTTGATTAATATTTTCTTGATAATTTTTTTCATTTTTACATTCTTTTGCTTTTTCTTCTAATTTTTTTATTATATCACCAATAAAATTTTCTGTTTGACTTTTAACATTATATATTGCTTTTGCGTATGCTGTTCCTTTCATTACAGCATTATACACTGTTATAAACAATGCTGTTTTATAGTTAGAATCATTATCACCAGTGGCTTGTTTAATTTTATTTATACCATTACTAATTCCAGATACAATTGTATTTGCCAATGTTATTAACCATTCATATGCTCTATCATACCATTTATCTGAATTAAATGTTTCATTTATTTCTGATAACCATTTTTCTGTTTTTTGACGGCCAAATTTTTCATAAATATTTTTTAATGATTTATAAATTTGTTTTTTCTTTTCTTCAATTGATTCTCGAGTTTTTGTAAATAATTCACTAATAATTTTACTACAATATCCTTTAAGTAATTTATCTGATAAGAATGAAACACCTGCATTAACTAATCCAAATGTAACACCTTGTGAAATTTTTATTCCCACACAACACCAAACTTTTTTCAATACATTATTTTTTACACCGTGTAATCCTTCTTTACTTGCTGCATCTAATAGTTTTTTACCAGAAAGTTTCGACAAATTTCCGGTATTTCCAACTAATTTTGAACCAAAACGTGAATATCGAACACCTTTTGCAATAAGACCGGCAATTGCCACAGTTGCAATTGTAATCATAATACTTTTTATTTTATGTATAAAATAATCACTCCGATTAAAATAGCCACTTTTTGCAGCGGAAAATGTGTAAAAAATATCACTAATTCCTTCTGATATTAAACCAGCTGCGATATGAGTACCAATTCCAACACTGTATAATTCAAGAATAGCACCGCCAATTATTTGTAAAACACTAAACACAAAAATTACACCAATATTTAACCACATTTGCAATGTATATTTTTTCTCTTCAATACCAATAATTTGATCTAAACTATTAATTTTAAATAATTCTAATTCTTCCAAATGTTCAAATTTTTCATTTTCATTAAACTTTTCTTTAATACCATTTAAATATGAATTGGGTCCGAAAAATTGGGCCATTTGACGCTCCTGCATTGTCACTGGGGGTGGTTGATTAATGGTTAAACTTGTAGCAACTAATTGGTTCAAAGTCGAAATAACATTCTGAGGGTTCACTGTTCCCAATGAACGAAATTCCTAAACTTGGCTCACTCTTAACAACCGAATAAAGCGTGAGAAATTTCGTGTTATATTTAAAATACAATATGTTAGGTCCAGTATACGTTGTTGTGTATAAGTAGTTTATTTAGAAACTGAACACGATCCTTTTGCACAAAAATACCGTATATTTATATCAAAGTTTACACGAAAAGCGGAATATTCTAGAGTTGATGTACTAGGCTGGGAAACTGGGGACACATGTAAGCGATCACAGAAAATAAAGAAACCAACAACTAACACTGAAGAAATCCCTGATAGAAAGAAAGAGAACGAATATACATATATATATGTATGATACCTATCATACAATTGTCTCTTGTGGCACGTCTTTAATATGTGCCATAACACAATAATGTTCAGAAAAGCGAAAGAAACTAGTACTTGTATAGATTTGACCTAATGCCATTTACACATTGTTCTTTTCTTCTTTCTTGTGGCAATACGTTACTCACGTTCATTCCCTCAATTTTATCAACATAGCACTTTTAATCCTCGATTTCCTCAGTAAACCCTTTCTTTTCCTTTCCCTATATTTCAACCGACTTATTTCTATAAATAGCCGTGAAATCAGAAAAATCAGTCAAGGTAATTCATTCAAATTGTCTTTTAATTCATTTTTTTGATTTAGGTATGTCGAAAAACTGCTTCGAAAACGACAGCTAGAAACGAAGAAGACAGCATAAAAGAAAAGCTCGCCTTTATTTATATAGAAGAGGAAACGCAAGAAACGGGGAGGTACATATCGTTTAAAGTGCTTTTTATTTATAAAATGAGTAAAACTAAAAGATTGTCATGTAATGATGATATCGGATAATGGTATATCGGAAGAGGGCGCCAAAGCTTTTGCAGAAGCACTGAAACTAAATTCAGCATTAACAAGTGTCAATATTGTAAGCTGCTATATATCGGAAAAAGGTGGCAAAGCATTTGCAGAAGCATTAAGAGTAAATTCAAGGTTAACAAGTCCGGATGTTAGTGGAAACGGTATACGGAAAGAAGGGGTTGAAGCCATTGCAGAAGCACTGAAAATAGATTCAACATTAACAAGTCTCAATATTGGAAACAACAGTATATCGAAAGATGGTGCTAAAGCCATTGGAGAAGCACTGACAATAAATTCAGCATTAACAAGTCTGGATATGGGTTATAGCAGTATATCGGAAGAGGACGCAAAAAGCCCTTGCAGAAGGATTAAAAATGAATTCAACGTTAACAAGTCTCGCTATTAGAATCCACACTATATCGAAATAATTGAATAAAGAAGTAGTTTAAGCAGTTGAAGAAGCATTGAAAATAAACACAACATTAAGAAGTCTTTTTATTGATACGGTCAGCGATATGCAATCTGATGAGATCGCAGCACTTAAAGAAATGTTGAGGATGAACGCAAGGTTAACTACTACTTACGTCACGTGACATATAGGGCATATGGCAGTGGTCTACGGTACGATTAATCTCGACATTTTTTATCGCGTGAGATACGAACAATAAAGTCATTTCCGTAATCCGTATGAGATTTCCAACAGGACGTTGAATAAACAGTGAAGACATTTCTTTTTGACGAAAACAAGGTGTGAAGACAAGGTGAAATATATCTGCATATCTGTAACTGTATCACATACTGCCCATTCACCACATAACTTCACTTAGATACCATGTCGGTCGCTCAAACGTCGGTTAATCCTTTGAAATACATTCTTTCTAGTTCTTTTCTCGAATGAAGATGTGTCGTCAAAGTACAAAGTTAGAGAATGATTCTGTTCTCCCTCAATGTTATGAATTCAATTTGAACTATACCTTGGTCATAACATAAATATGTTGAAAGTTCATTGTCCGATCTCTCGTCTTTCGTAAGAAACAAGCAAAAATAGGGTGATGCTTTTCAGGCGCTTATAGCTCCATGTTGATTATTGTTCTGCTTTTGTCAACTCGGCGTCTCACTAAAAGATTTTATACATTTTAGCACATATATTGAGCTGTCTAATATCAGCGAAATCTGCCATTATTCCAAAGTACTAATCATGAACACTTCCGCTTCTTCGAATAAGAATAGGAAGAGGTGATGTTATTTTATATACTGATCGTTTATTTTTTCGATTTATAAACGAATAAGTGACAGAATATGATGAATTAAAATTGTGGATGTAAACACCTAGAACACGTGTTCAGCTGAAAATCGAAGCAAGCCTTATTATATTCATCTATAGGTCACGGTTTGTGAAGCAATGAACATGAATAGCTTGCTGAAGGCCATTACTCAGCTACTGACGTCACTAGATGGGTTCGAACGCGGCACTTGTAAACACGTTGTTCTAGACATTAGCTAATTCAGCCATGCTGCTCAATGAATCCTTTTTTCCTTGAATTCCTTGATTATCAGCTTACGGTTAATTTGACGGTAATGGAACTATATGATAAAAAAATTCATTCATTATGATGAATCTTACAGTTAATTACTGGCATGAACTGTACCAGTAAAGAATAGTGATATTGCTTTTTAAGTTGAATTACTTCAATAAAAATTACACGGGATCCTAATGCATGTTAAAGAAATCTTACTCTTAACAGCAGTGATATTAATATGACCTAAGTACGTTAATAACAGATAATTAATGATTTTATATAGATAATCGACAAATGAGAGTAATATGTAGAGAACGATTTGTCTCATTTTTTTGAAATTGTATATATACGCTTACTGTCAAAACTTCAAAAGACAGACAGACATTTAACAAATAAAGTTTAAACCAGCAGCAGTGATTTCCAAAATTTAATCGCTTATCTTTCGTACTTCAAGAGCTTTGTTTTCTATAAGTAACGCACATTCGATAGAGAATGAAATTCTGTATCGAATAATGTATATTAGAGTGTTAAGTCTCTTTGACATTATCAAATGGTAATCAAAATACTTCAAAATACTTGATATCATGATCGATAAGAAAAGAGTTTTTCAGCTGTTCCTCAAATCTTGAAATTAGCTCAAAACCTTGTTATTTATCGATCATTGTGAAAACGCTTTAGAGTACCTTTAGCTAGACTTTTAGATTTGTTATCTAAAAGCGTAAAAGTCTAAAAGTCTAATAAATCTAAAACCGGAGAATCCTAAAAGTCTGAAAGTTTGATAAGTGTAACACCCTAAAAGTTCAGAAGTCTAAGAGTGTAAAAGTTCAATAAGTCTAAAAGTCTAGAAGTCTAACAAATCTAAAAGTGTAAAAATCTAATAATTCTAAAAGTCTAAAAAGTCCAATAAGTCTAATAAAGCTAAACCCTAAAACTCTAGAAGCCTAAAAGTCTAATAAATGTAAAACCTTAAAAGCCTAATAATTCTAAAAGTAAATAAAAAGGAGGAGAGTATAAGCCAACGGCTGCACTGTATATTCGTATACCTAAAGAATAAACTACGTCCTCTTGTACAGTTTCCCCTTTTCAATCATGACAATATACTTTTTACTGTTGCACTCAATTCATTTCATATTCTTTCGAGATTACATAAATAAACCGGTTTCATTTTAATATAAAAAAGTTCATAACATAGAAAATAGAAGATCTGAATTATAGCAATAAACAATTCCACAGAAAAAATAAATGCCAATATAGAAAGAAAACAAATCAAAACCTATCTGACTGAATAGATGACTAGTAAAATAAAAGAAACTTCATGTTCAAGACTTTTTCCGTGTACTATTGGTGAATAATTACGTTAAAAAATGGCTAATGATAATAGATTATTTTCAACTTTTTGTGCTACCATTATTATTCAGTTATTAATATTCATTCATTTAGAAAGATCCATTTTCAACAAAAAAAGAGAAATAAAAATACACTGATACACAACAAAACTTTCACAACTGTACGCCATTAATATTTTCTGACGTCTAAAGAAAGTCTCATATTTGAATACAACGTTCTTCAATTTTTTTTATAACATCATGTGATTGTAAATGTTCTTCGGCCAATAATGATATACCCAACTGATCTTCTTGTTTTAGTGGTTGTGCCATATCTTTTAGCCATTTTTTAACAATTTGTACACATTCTTCAATTGATAAATTACATAGACCATCATGTAAGTATTCTTGTATCCATTTTGGTATTTTTAAACGTTTATCCGAACGTAAAAAACGTTTATCAGCAAATATCATAATACCATAATCACTTTTACCACGTAATACTCGTCCGACACATTGTGAAGCATGACGTAAAGCTAAAACAAACAAATGATGTTTAGTCAAAAACAAAGTAATTTAAATACAAAACTATGTGAATTTGCTATAAAAACTAGTAGTCTCTCTGTTAAATCACTAGTAATACGTTACATTTGTGCCCAAATACGAAGTTTTATGAATCAGAGAACAAAACAAGTATAACATCTATAGTTCGAAATATTTAACAAACAGCGCATGACAAATGGTGAACTTACCATCAAACGTTAGAAAATCATTTTCTCGTATATGGAAATTTTCTCGTAAATAATCCAGTCTTGCTTGTAATATCCTCGATTGTGTATAAACGTACGGTATACCAAACATAATTACACATCTTCCCAAATGATTATCAAAATCTACACCTTCACTCACTTTTCCACGTGCCACAGATAATAGCACAGCACCACGTCCATTATCACATGCTTTTTGATAATTATACAATGCTAATGATGTTTCAATACTATCCTGTGTTTCAATAAATAATAATTTATATTTTTGTACTTGTTCAATAATTTTTAATTCATACCAAGTGGCTACAATTTGTTCCATATAAGAATAGGATGTAAAAAAACATACAATACCATCTGGAACATGTGTACACATTTCAATTAATAATATACCATAATTACGTATTACCGATTGATCTTCACGTTGTTCAAATTTTGATGTAATAGCTATTTGATCATTGCCACGACTAACAATCATTGGCAATATACATGGACGTGTCAGTGTCATAGTAAATGTAGCCATAATAACCGGATGAAAATCGAGTATTTTTGGATACATATCCAATGGACTTAGTGTTCCTAAAAGACGATAGTAAAATACACAGTTCATACACGTTCAAGTTTCAAACATACCTGATGTAATAATAACTGACTGAAATCGTTGAAATATTGGTTTGATGGCAATACTTGAATCTAGACATGTAAAATGTAATACGGGATTATAAACAGTTGATTTTGAATCTCCAAATGGTTCAATAATTAATGTGAAACCTTTTGTGTATGTACTAATAATTGTAGCAAAATTACATAATAGTACCAACGGTTGATATTGATGTATATCACGAATTTCCATTGTTCTCAATAAACTTCTTAATCGTTCTGAACAAAAACGTAATGGTTTTCTCTCAATACACACGCGTACTTGTAAATCTTTTAGAAATGATGGTGGTGATTCTTTAACAATATGTTGAACGTTCAAACGTGTTTTCATATATTCAAGAAAACGTTTAACAAATACGAGAAAATGTTCGGCTAAACGTATGTTACCCGGAATGGATTCTTGTAAAACATGATCGGGTAATACAGGATTTGTTAAAATGACATCTGTTTCACGTTGTTGTTGTTGTTCTCTTAGACCGTTAACTAATTTTTCATATTCTGACTTTAATCGATTAACATCCGTTTGTTTTAGATCATCGACAATTACTTTCAAATGTTCAACATTTTGTTGACATCGCTCTAATAGACGACGTGTCAATGTTATACTCATTGAGTCAATACAAACATTATCAATATTATGTGCTTCATCAAACACAATTATCGATGTTTTTGGTAATTCTTTACTAATAATTTCAGCTATTTTTGGATCTAATAGATAATGATAAGAATAAACAATAACATTGGCATGTGTTAGTATATAACGTGTTAAAAAATATGGACACCAATGTTTTAGTTTTCCATATTGTTTCATATCATCAAGATTATAGACACCATATGGCATTAAGAATTCGCGTCCTTGTTGATCATATTGTTCATAGTATGAACACGTTTTTATTGAACGATCATGTTTTGCTTGTTCACGAACGTACGATGCTGTTAAATTCATACATTTACTATCCACTTCTTTACCTAATCTGAATTGACTAACTTCTGGATGTATACATAAATTCTTTCGTGAACTCATTGCAATACCAATAAATTTTTGTTCTTCATTTGTTTCTTTTTCATAATATTTTATTAAACGTTTCATTTCCGACATAACTTTTTCTATTTCGGGTACTGTACGTGAACAATAAACAAGTTTAGTATAATTTTGTGGATAATGCTTCAAATAGGCAATAATTAATGACAATAAAGTAATAGTTTTACCAGTGCCACTTGGCATTTCAAGAACACAATGTCCTTTAGCATCGAGACCACGTTTCAATTCATGCATATATGAATATTGTTCAGGATAAATATAATCATATGGCATGTAAACAATCAAACCATCAATATTTAACTTCATTTTAACAGAGAATGAAATATCGTAGATCTAGAGATAGAAAAAAATGAATCAGTTCTTGAACGACAGATATAAGACAATGGAAAACAAGGAGAATTAATTTTTTGATTGATAATAGGTACCCTTCGATGTTCGAGGAGTTTAAATATCAGGCAAAGCAAGAGTCAATTAATTGCTGGAACAAATGTGTCTGAACTAATACTATTGTTATTCTCGGGTTAGTAACTGTTTTCTCACTTAGGTGATAGTTCCTCATTTTGAAAATGCGTTCCTCGAAGTGCTACTCACCTATCATTTGTCACGCAAAATCCCAGTTCACACTTATAAAAAATAAGCGTTTCAGATTATCTCTAAACTGAATTTTAAACCAGCTCGTTGATTGAGAAATAGATAGTTTTTCACAAAAAATTCATTTTTTATAAAATTTTGATGAGAAATGTGTTTCACTGACTTCCGATTATGACTTCAAGCTGATTTCATTCACAGACAGAGCCAAAAAAGAAGCTGAATAAGAAATTTTGAAGTTTTCATAGAAAAAAGTTTAAAAAGATCTCGAAACCAGACATAAAAACATTCTGCAGTCACAATTTTCTTTATAGTTATAGAAATTTAAAGTAATAACTGGTATTTCGATCATTGTACAGTTTCTACTTCTTTGCTTTTCCAAAAACAAATCAAGTGAAAAGCAAAGAATCCGAGGATAAACATTTTATTTGATGAAATTTTGACGCAAATAGTTACGCAGATCTTCTATTGTAATCTAAAAATGCATATTAATCACAGAGAGAGTAATAAAATGTCCTATGCAATCATTAGCATTAAAATGAGATACGAATTTACAAGTTTTCATTGAAAGACACGAATTTTAGTTGTAACTAATTAGTATAATTTTTTGCTTTGTAGTAATGAACTTTACACTACAACCTTGATTTCATCGCAGTCATTTCATGCAACATGTGTCGAAAGTGCCGACCTGTCTAAAAAAAACAGACACTTTCGTCACAAACGACACTTTCGGGAAAACGAACTTTCGTCGCATAACGGATTAACTTTGGTAAACACTATTCAAATATGGTTAAACTTTCGTCAAATGCCGTAAAAACTTTTGTCACATGCCAAGAGTTTTGTCGCTGAAAACAGAACTTTCGTCATGTGACGAAAGTTCAGCGTTACCCGATGACGAAAGTGCTGTGAAACTTTTAAACTAATCTAAATGGTTGTATGGTAAAAACAGGTGTTACTATGTATCGTTTGTATGCTCTGTTTGCCTCTGATCTGTCTCTCATTAAAAGTTCCCTTGACTTTAGTCTAGGGTCTTACAAAATAGTTGTCTGTGTGTGTGTGCGCAAAATACGGAAAAATGGCTGTCAGACATTCTATGGATAAGCCAATCATAAGCGAGAAGCATAAAAAATTTCTTTTTAACCACGCGAGACAAAATATTCAAAGAGATAATGTGACATTTCTACTCATGCAGAGAGAAAAAACCTAAGCAAACGTTTTCTGTAGACCGAAGCTAGATGTCATGAGGCAGCAGTCAACGATGATAAAAACGAAAAAAATCGTGTACAGATAATAAAACTTACAGTGCAGAGATAATGTATCATAGCAAATCGATTAGATATAGTTCCAACCTCCTTGGGATCTGCAGAGGGTGCCCAGAAAACCTTTTGGCTTCATATTACATCAGACGTTTTTTCCGTGGAATCAGAGAAGCTCACAGCGTTTCTCAGCTATACTGGCTGCGAACGCCGACCAAAGGGAGCCGAGAGCATTGTTTTGAATTCAGAAATATTTTTAGACCTCTAGAGATCTTAGCTGGATCTCGAGAAAACCTTTTACATTTTCATGAGATTATGAACCTTATGCAACAAATCAAAGAAAAATTTAGAACATATTTTAGATAGTGCTCTAGCGAACGCCGACTGAATGGAGGCGTGAGCGTTGTCGTGGATTCAGAAGTGATGGAGGCTCGTTCGCAGATATAAGTTCCTAAAGTCAAGGGACCGAGCGAGTGCAGACGAGCGTTACCTTGTTTTATATTTGGTAACCCTGGGTGTGACATGGAATAATTAGATATTATGACCCTGGGTGTGGAACGGTTAGATATTATGACGCAATCACTCGAAAGATTTCTTTTTTTCACTTTTAGCGCCTACTAGTGAATATCCCGTGAATCTGCCTGAAGTGCACGATGTTTGGAATAAAACGAGACAAGAGGTTTAAATTTGATATGTAAAACCGGTGGGTACTCTAGTCGACTCTCCCCCTGAAAGTCCACGGGGTCTCCCTGAAAAATGCATAATCTCCGGGGACTCCCTAGGAAGTCCCCCTCCAAGTCCCTAAAAATGTGTACTCCCAGGGAGTCCTTTGGGAGTCACCCTCACGCTCCCCAGGGAGTCCCTAAAATGCATAATCCTCATTGACTCCCCGGGGAGTCCCTAGGGAGTCACCCTCATACTCCTCACCTAAAATGCATAATCCTCATTGTCTCCCCACAGAGTCGCTAGCGAATCTTGAATTTTGGTTAATCTTCAATAATTGCTAAGAAGAATGATTTATACATGATCACCAATGATTAGAAGGTGATGACTAATGATTAATTTTCTCACATTCGTGAAATTTATTTGCAAATGATTCGCTGATGATCACTATTGTGGGTAAAAAACAGAATGGATCCGAGTGTTTTTTGAGTAACATTTGGCAAGAAAGT